CTGTAAAACTCCTAGACAAAGGGGAAAGATGGACATTTGGGGATGTCCTTTGAGAGATAAATCAGCTTGACGGGCTCTCCAACCCTGTTAAAATGTAACCTCGTTTAGATAAGCTAAAAATTAGATGGAAAGCTCTCTAAGGAAAGGTTTAGCAAGTAAGCAAACTGGTTATTTACAATTGCATTGGATTATTTACTGCACCAGGCCTAAGACCCTTTAGCAGGAAAGATTTATTGGCTTAGGACTTCCTTTACAGCACATCCATTACAATTAACCAATGTTGGTGTATTAACTAAAGTCTATAATTTATTTGGATTTACTTAGTTTTAACCTAATATCCTTTTTCTGTTCCAGGATATTACCAGTATACATGACATTTAATTGTCATGTCTTTAACTTTCCTTTTGGCTGTGACAATTTTTTCAAACTAGTTGGAAGACCCAGAACTCAGGCCACCAGGCACCATCTATTGCCAATAGAGAGAGGAATTGAATCTTTAAGGTGAGCTTTAATCAGACAGCCTAAAATTGGGGGGAGGGGAAATGGAGAGGTTAACATCCTAAAGAAATTATATTCATAGTTCATTTCTAGGTCACTTTTTTAAAAAGATTTATTTATTTATGTACACAAGAGCTGGGGTACAGGCCAGAGATGCGGGAGTGGGTGGGGGTTTGAGAGGATTCACCAGAGACAGAGTGAGAAGCAGAACACTCTGAGGGGAGCAGCGGGAGAGACAGGAGAGGTCTGCTGTGCCATGTGGGTTAGCTCCCTGGCCGGGGATTGAACTCATGTTGCAGTGGCTAGCAATAGCTTGATAGCCATGTGTCTTTAACACCTGCACCACCAGGGAGGCTCCTCTATCAAAATTTTCTAATTAATCATGGATTGTGGGCTTGGGGAGAAAGATTACAGAGGCAAAGTGCTATTTTCATGACATCATTTTAAGGCTATATACTGTGAATATGATTTTTGACTCTTGATGTTGAACTTGATCACCTGGCTGAAGAAGTGTTTGGAAGGTTTCTCTTCTGTAAAGTTCCTTCCCCTTTTACCTTTGGAAGGCAGTACTACGTGCATTCCACACTTAAGAAGTGAGAAGTTATACTCCACCTCCCTTTAGAGGGCAGTATCTACATATTTGGAATTCTTCAAATGAGCCCATGCATTTCCCAATATTATTCCCAAAACCTGCACAGAGGAAATTATTTAGAAAATTAGGGCAGTAATTTCCTCAGAGTTGTTTATTCCAAGTTCCATTTCCCTGTCTCCTCAACTAGAAAGGCAAAAAACTTTTGAAAATGTAATTTTTATGAGATTTCTAGCAGAATTATGGATCAAAAGGAACATGCATTTTTATTAGTAGCTTTATATTTATTTTTATTATGAATCTCTTATACAGTTTAATCATGGATTAAATGATTATTCAGTACATGTATGAAAACTGAAGGATGTGGTTTAGATTCATGTGCAGCACTTTTTCAAGTTACCCATTTTTTCTCTTCCGAGTGGCTCTTGAGCATCAATGAATGTTTGGTGGTTGCTTCTACCAAGTGTTTTGCTTCATTTGTTTTGGTTGCTATGTAAGGAGATCCACCTATATCTGGGTTATTCAAAATCATGATTCTCCTCTGACCTATCCTGATCTTGGCCTTGCCAGCACATGGGCTTACCCCCCAAAAAAGACTAGCTTCTCACCTACTCATTTTCTGTTCAGATTCCTTTATAGTAGGATGAAAGGCTAAGAGTGAAATCTTTGCAGTTTCTGTGATTTTTTTCTAGAGGTTTCCGAATCTGAAATGCATAGCAAAACTGTAAATGCGAGCACAATCCTACAGGTATCAAACTTCTTGCCAGATCAGGGTCAATGTCTGTATCAGGCCATTTGGTCAAGGGCAGCCGGAACTGGGCACAGCTCAGGCCCATTGTGGTGGGAACCATGCCACCATGGGTTGCCCTGGCAATGCCCACTAGCTTTCTATTTTGAGGAAATTTCCAATATATTAAGTTGTAAGAATAGCAGTGAACTCCCTTGATATAAATTCATCAATTGTGGGCCTCCCTGGTGGTGCAGGGGTTAAAGTCTCAGCACTATCAAGCTACTGGCAGCCACTGCAGCATGAGTTTGATCCCTGGCCAGGGAGCTAACCCACATTGTACAGCAGACCTCTCCTGTCTCGCTTGCTGCTCCCCTCAGCAGTGTACTTCAGTGGATCTGCCTGTTCTGCTCCCCACTGTCCCTCTGGTGAATCTTCTTACACACACCCTGGCCCCGGCACCTCTGGCCTACGCCCAGTTCTTGTATGCATAAATACATGCTGCAGTGGCTGTGGGCAGCTTCATAGGTTGTGTCTTAACCCCTTGCCACCAGGAAGGCGCCAAGTGTGTTATACTCTTGACATATGGCTTACATTTGTGATACTGTAATATCCTTTTGTGCAGCCTCCCCCTTTCCCACGTTATTGCTCTTTGCAACTAGTTTCTGTAGTATTTTGCTGAATCATCAAAGAACAGGACAGGTCCTGTCTGATAAGAACATGATAAGCTTCACAGAGACAGTCCCTTGATTGAAAAAGTTGAGTACAAGCAAAGATTAACCATTTGGTAGCTTCCCAAATTCAATTTCCTCTTTTTTTTTTTTTTTTTTTAAAGATTTATTCATTTATTTATACAAACACTGGGTATAGTCAGAAGCGCTGGAGGGTGAGAGAATTCACCAGAGACAGAGCGGGGAGCAGAGCAGGCAGAAGGACCGAAGTACACTGCTGAGGGGAGCAGCGGGCGGCAGGAGAGGTCTGCGCGCCATGCGGGACCCTCCTCCGGTGGCCGGGGAGCAGCCGGGGATCGAACGGGCGCTGCAGAGGCTGAGGGCACCTTCGCCACCCAGCGCTCAACCGCTGCGCCACCGGAGAGACCCCAATTTCCTCTTATACTAGCTCAGGTCTTGTGAAGAAGTGTTAGAGTTTCTCAGATAAATTCCCAAAATCTCGGTCCTAGATAAGCCAATTTACTTGTGGCTTCCCCAGAATCACTGCCGTAGATCCCTGTCAGGTTAATCCTAAAGAATTGGTTTGTGTGGTCATCATCTCACCGGCTCACAGGCTGGGACTTCAGTCTGTGGTTTAATTAGAAATTGAGTCAGCCAAATGATAGGCTAACTCTTGAATTTATTTGCTGGGGAGGAACTAAGGGAGAGACTGGTGGTAAATGCAAATAATCTCTTTGAAGAATCAATTTAAAAAAGAAGGTAAAAAAATGGTAGCAGAAAATAGTGAAACTCTAACTTAGGTGCCTGTACATTTTACCCCTTTGCAGCCAATTCACACAGAAGATTTAAAACCTAGTCATCTAGTCACTCCCCAATTAAAATCCTCTAGTGGTGTCTATGTATTTACAGACACCTTAGATGTCCTCTGTGAGACAGCCTGAGCTCATCACCCTTTTCTTTGCTCACCAGCTCAAACCTTACTGGTTTCCTTTCAATTCCTGAAAAATGTCAAGCTTTTTGCCTGGGATGGCCTTTTCCTTTACTTACCCCTTAGCTTATTTTTTACTCTCATTTCCAGGTAATCCCCTTACCTCTCGCTACAGTGTGCTGATATCTATCACCAATTGTTATTTTTGCCTGCTCCTGAAATATAAACAGATTCACACATTATGTTTTTGTGTCTGGCTTCGTTCACTTACTTTTTTTTTTTTTTTGAAATTGATCTATATTGTCAGATATATCAATGCTTCATTTTTGTTTTATGGCTTAGTAATATTCATTATGTGAAGATATTTCAAAAAGTCAGTGTTAAAAATAAGACCGGGAGACTAAACACACACACACACACACACACACACACACACACACAAAATGCATGATCTTAGTTTTAAAAAAAATTATAAAACCCATTACTAGGACAATTAGGGAAATTTGAAAATGAACAGGAATCTTGTTTTCTTAGCTCACCAAGTCTTCCTTGGCAAATCTCTAATTACTAAAGAATGGCACTGCATTTTCTCATTCACTTAGGCTGAAAGCTGCCTATAACACAGCTCCAAGCTTCTTTTTGATTTCACCACCCACCCTCTCATCAGTTCAGGTTTTTATCACTTCTTCCACAGCCTTCAGATATAACTGAAAAAAATCCCCCTACTTAAATTTTACTATTGAACAGTGTTAAGGATAGTCACAGAGTTGTGCAACCATCACCACAATCAATTTGAGAGTATTCTTATCGCCCCAAGAGGAATCCTGTGCCAGTAAGTGGCCACCCTTCATTAGGCTTCTGGGATTCGGTTCTGATTCCTCATATAACAGAATTGTAACTTCTCGTCCTCAATAGTCTCCTTGCAACTCATGTACAACCTGGTGAACTTGATTTCATTAGAACGTGGCTTAGATAGGATACTCTACCCGACCAGGGGGCTTCAGGGACTCCCCCAAAGGACACTGAGATCCAAGAAAGCAAACCCCTATTAACACACATTCTACCCCAGGCGCCGAGCTAGGAGCTGCAAGCAACATGCTCCGCCCCTGTAGATTTCCCTTAGGGGCATCGCGCCTCCGCTCAGGCAGGGCCTCCGCCTAGGTGACCCTCCACGTCCAGTGCAACCCTATCCCGGAGAAAAATTTCCTATTTTTCCAGCAGGTGACTCCGTGGGTCTCTTGACACTTGTCGCCTGCTGGCACACACCTGAAGCTCCACACTCAGTACACCCGCGGCTCACGTTCTGTGAACGCAGCCATTTCCTGGCCCGGGGGCTGGCCGGCCTCTCGCCCCACACAACCGCCCCCTCCGGCCTTCAGCGGCCTCCGCCGACCCGGGCACCACAGCCCCGCGCGGCCCCCGGGACGAGCGGGCTCAGCGCGGCCGCCTTCCGGGTCACATCCGCGCTGGGCCCTCTCGGCTCCGCGGTCCGTGCTTCCGCCCGGAAGCACAGAGTCGCCCCCTTCCGGCGCGCTCCCGGCCCGCCCCGACGCCGGCGCTGACGGAAGCACGCCGGGGGTGACCTCACCCTCCAACATGGCGGCGGCGGTAGATTAGGGCCGCGGGTCGGAGCAGCCACCGCCGCTGGGGGACCCTGTCGGAAACACCTGCCGCCGCCGCCGCCTCTGTCATCTCTTCTGGGGCTGGGGCCAGGGCCAGGTGAGGGGAGCGGGTGTCCGGGCAGGAGGCGCTGGGTCCTCACCGGGCTCCTCAGGCGCCTTTCACAGGCTAGGAAGGTGCCCAGAGACGGTGCCGAGCCGCCGGCCCCCAGTGGTTCCGACGACGCGTGAGTGAGTGTCAGAGCGTGTGACAGTGACTGAGAGAGGGCGAGTGGGCGATGCTTCGGCCGAAGGTTCTCGAAGCTAAAGGGTCCCTTTCAGGAGAACCTGACGTGTCCAGCGGGGGACCCAGCGTGAACGCTTGTTGAGCGGGGCTTTCCGAGGGGCGCTCAGAGATGGGGGGCTCGGCCTCGCTCTGCAGCGCCCGAACCCACAGAGACTTTGACATGGGAAGCCCAGCCCCGTTTTTTTAGGACCAAGCTGAGAACGTGGAGTTCTTGACCCAAGAGAAGGTTTTCCTGCGATTCGTGTAGAACGAGCCCAGATGAGTGCTGTCAGCCCTCCTGGTCTTTCCTTCTTACAGATTGTTAGAATGCTTACCCTTTAGACACTGCTGTTTTGACACCCATTCCCCCCCCCCCAAAAAAAAAAATCTCTTATCTTTGGGGGCAATACAATTTACAGTTAGTTCTTCCTTCCTTTGATGTTTATCCTCTCATTATGCCAAGGAGATCCCACGTTGCTTTCCTTCAGAACAGACTGTGAAGGAAAACTAGACTTTTTGAGATAAAGCTGTAACCTAGGTTGAAAATGAGGCGATCTGGTCAGTTGTGCGCAGGCTTCTGACACTTTCTCTCTTAACCACTTCTGGCAATAGTGTTTGTTTATCCAAAATAGCTATCTCACGGTCTCTATTTATAAAGTTTAAAACTAAGCTGACAGCCCCTCTCCCCTCCCCCACCTCGTTTTTTTGGTTTTGTTTTGGTTTTTTGCTTTGCAAAGCAGTCTTTTTTGCGAAACTGTCAGTAAGATTTCCCCTGGAGATTTGGCAAAAACCAGAATGTTGATCTCTGCCCTGACTTGTGTGACCTTGGATGAGTTGCCACACCCTTCTAGTTGTTTTTTTTTTTTTTTTTCCACTCTCCCAGAAAATTAAGCAAATGTTTGTGTAGGTAGCGAACTGTTTCTACACATTGGATAAATGTGCATTACACTTGTGCACCCGCAAATTGAAAATATTTAAACCATTATGTAGTCTTCATTGACAACAGACTGGTAAGGGTCTTGAAAATCCTTTTATGCTTATTGGTCAGTTGCTATTCTCGGTGTTTTATTCACTGAGAATAAATTTATTGACAAATGTTCTTAAGGTGGACTATACCCCAATAGTTGAATTCAGTTGTAAGGTTGATTCCAATCCATTTTGTAAAGAAAAGATATGCTCATTAGCACATTGCTCAATATTTACTAAATAGCTTCTATACTAAATTGTTAGGACAAGTGATTTGCAACTGTTTTAAAAATATATTTCTCTTATGAACAATTTTAGACATACACATTTTAAACAACTGTGCCATCTTGCTTTTTATGGTTGTTTTTCAAACATTTTGATTTGTATCTTATTCCAAATAAATGGTCACCAAAAGTTCTTAATACTGGAAGGGATATTTTCAGAATAACTTTTTTAGTGAAATATAATTAACATCATACAACTCACCAGTTTAATAGTTTAATAGTTTTTAGGATGTTCATGGTGTGTACAACCATTACCACAATTTTCATCGTCCCAAAATGAAACCCTGTACCCATTAACAGTCATTCTTGATTCCTTCTTTTCCCTACCTCTCCTTTATCGGCAACCACTGATTTACTGTTGTTTCTAGTTACACTTCTGGACATTTAATATAAATGAAATTATACACTATGAAGTCTTTTGTGATTGGTTTCTCTTAGCATAATATTTTTAGGTTTCATGTCGTAGCGTGGACCAGTACTTCACTCCTTTTTTATAGTCACATAACATTCCATTGTATGGCTACACCACATTTTCCTTCTTCATCAGTTGATGGGCAGTTATTTCCACTATTTGACTGTTAGATATAATGCTGCTGTAGCTTTTCACATGCAAGTTTTTCCGTAGCTGTGTTCTCATTTCTGGCATATACCTAGGAAGTAGAGGAGAGTAACTGAATTTTATGTTTCCCCTTTTACAAGCTATCTACATGTATATGGGAACCTAATTAACATATTTGAAAGTCAGACTGTGTGGGGAGAGAATGAGGCAGTCCTCTGTAAGTACATTATCTGCTAATGTCAGCTGCTAAGTGAAAACATTTTTGGGCAGCTCAATGCAAGATAAAACTAGAGTGTTTAGGTTAAGCATGTTTCAATAGAAAAGGGATAGTGTATTCTAGAATTCTTCCTGTCTGCTGAGTTAAAAATGACACCTTGCTCAGTTGCATTTCTCACCTGGATGGGATGAATTTTTGCAACTTTCCAATTTTTATTAGGATATTTAATTTTACTTTTAGAGAAAGTCCTAGAATTCTCTACGATCTAATAAAGCATGGGTTATAATATAGTTATTCAACTTCATGTTAAATTGTGGAACTTCAAAAAAATTCCCTGCTCAACCCATGGGTTGAGTGTTGAGACTAGAGAGCTGGTAACCAGAAATCTTTGTTGATATTTAAAATTCTAGAGTTTTGGTTGTGATTGAATTATTTGCAGATTTTAACAGTTTAAAAACGAATTCTAAATCTGTTCAAGTCTCTTGCTGGAGTATTCAGTCAATTTTATTATATTACAATTTTTATTTATGGAAGGACGTGGCCTAAAAACAAGAGTTTCCTGAAATATTTTAACTAAAATATCAAATTATAATGGTTTGTTTCTTGGTTTTATGGAGTTAAGGAGTATAACATAGGTATGATATTCTAAGTTAATATGTCTGAGGTGGGTGGTAGAAATTTCTATTTTTAACAAGTATTCAAGATGACTAGTCAGACAAGTTTGTGAAACAGGTACAAAAAATTCCTGTTGCTGCAGATTTCCTTTCCATTCACAGGAATTTAATAATTGCTGCATACCTTCAGGTTATAGTTCATAAAATGTACTTAATTTCTGCTGTATAATCAGTGCTAGAGTACCAGCATTTGTACTGGTACTCATCATACAAATCTGTTGTTTTTTTTTTTTTAAGCAAACATTTAAAATGGAAACTTGCACATTTTAAAAATGCACTGTGTTGGTGAGGCAGAATTGGAGGGGACCTCAGCATTGTCCCCTGATTCCAGAAAAGCCCTAGGTGGTGGCCTCCAATCATATTTACTTTTTGGGGTTTTTTGGTTTGTTTTTCTATATTTATTTAAATATATATAGTTTTTTACATAGTTTTTCATTTTCGCATAGTATTTGATATCTCCTCTCAGGTGTAATCCCCATAAAATTCCCTCCACCAAGTTACCTGTGAACTGTCATCACAATCCCTTGTGCTGTTTTGATCCCGCTCTCTTCCCTTCCCCTCCTGAACGTCGATCATACTTACTTTTTGTCCTTCTGACCTTTTCCTCCCCTCCCTTCTCAAATTTGCTTCTTATAATACTCTTGATTTTCTGATACTTGAAAACCCATTCCTTCCCCCCTACATGTCTCCCTGCTGTTATTGGTGTTACTGTTTTTTACCTCTGCTTTCCTTCCCTCCCCCCCGGCACGTTACCTGGTATGCAGTAAATATGTGTTCAGTGAATGCAGTTAAGGGCTAAGAGTTCAGAACAGAAGAGGGTGTACTCACCCAAATGGTTGAGTTATTACTTAGCTGTATGATTTTGAGCAAATAAATTGTCTATTCTTGTTTCTCCATCAATAAAATTGAGATTACTACAACTTTTCCTTCTAGCATAGAGGATTGCTGTGACAATGTATGGAAAAGTGCTTCATAGATGGAACTCTCACACAGATACAATTTATTTATGGTATGTGTTAGAAATGCAAGCTCGGGCTGCTGTTTAAGACACTGCAGAATGTTGCAAAGGCAGTGAGTGCCCTCTCATCCCAGAATACCTTAGAATACATGGTAGTGCTCTGCACCTTCTCTTTACCATATTCCCAATGCTTAATTCTGGGATTTATGCGAATGAACTCTATCTATAATAGTGTTCCTGGAGTCTGTCTAGCTAACCACCTAAACACAGGCTTGCATGAGCTGCTTTGTTGCTGTGTAGCCAGTAGCACAAGCTAAATTAAAAGTTGGTTATTTTATATTGTAAGTGCGGTATGTGTAGATCTGGTATGTTTATAACTAGAATGCTCAATGCACATTTAAAGCCTAAAAACTATAAAGTTTGTATTATCTCCGATCACGTGAATCATTGAAAATGATTGAATGTAGTATTCAACCAGGATAGTCACCAAATATAGGGATATTAACAGCTGAGGGCTAACTGCAAATAGAATGGTGAGTGTGCAAGTTGGAAGATTATTAAATCCTTGCATTTATAGTTAGACAATTGAGATTTGTAAGAAAATTTGAAGACACTCAAAAAAAATTTGAATGCCCAGTGCCTTTTGGTATATGAATTTTTGATGAATACAAGAAATTTGAATGTCACAAAATTTGAGAACATCAAATTTTTATTTAAAGAATTATCAAAACACCAGACAGATTCTGAGACTTTAAAGATTAGGTTTCGTCACTGGTTTGCTGTATTCTCCCCCTTTCTTTTGGAACTTTACTTCATTTATTCCTTGCCCTCTATATTTATTTCTCTTTATTGGCTCTTCCTTCACTGAATGTAAACATGCTCAAGGACTCTTTCATTGTGTTTAAATATAAAACGGGTGCGCTCACAAACCTTTTTTGTCTCTCATTCTAGCCTCCATCTTTTCTTCTCTACAAGCCGTATTTTCTTTTACTCCACCCTTTCATTCCTCAACTTCCTGCCATCCGCCATGGCCCTGCCAGTCAAATAGAACTGTCCTGTCAGACATAAGACAGAACTTCAATGCCCAGATCCAGCTGACTCCTCGTTTGCATTCTTCTAGATGTGCTGTTAAATTGACTCTTTTATTCACTCTCCATATAGACTTGCCTCCCCTGACTTCTGTGAACACGCCCTTACCTGGTGTCCTGCATTCCTTTCTGATTGTTCCAATCCAGACCAAGAGGTTTTCTCTGCTGGCTTCTCATCTCTTGACCACCCCTAAAAATGTTTTTTTCCCCTGGTGTTTCTTTTTATTAACAAGTACTTCTGGGCATATTTTAAATATTTCTCTTTTAGAGAGAGATTGAAAATTTCTCTGGCTCCTATCCTGGTGGTGACGCTTGGGGTGGGTTGAGGAAACATTATTTTTCCGTTCCATCCCCACACTGGGTCACTGATAACAGAATATTTAAGATTTACCCTGCTTTATTTTCTGTACTTTGTATTCTGAAAATAGTGGTAACCACTCCTTTTGCATGTATGAAACAATATATTGAATATGGTTTTCAAGCTAAATTAATCCAAAATTTTGACACTGCATGCCCACTAGAGATCACCACTGGTCTTGGATTCTTTAGATAATTTTATTGACTCGCATTTTGCGGTATACAGTTCAGTATCTCTAGACCTCTTTCTGAGTTTAAGACCTATATGTCTAACTCCTTCTGTATACCCAGGTGGGCTTCCCAAAAGGTCATTTGAAGTCAGGATGTCTCCAAGGGAACTTGTTATCCCTCTTCCCCAAAGCATCTCTTCCTATAGTAGCCTAATTTGAGAAATATTAATAACAACCCTTTTCCATACAATGCCCTGATTACTCTGGTTGGGTCAGCTTACACATCTTTGAACTCTTAAGATTTTTCTTATCTGTCCCCTTCTCCTTTTTGGTGTTCCCGCCCTAATTTATGCCTTCATATTTTTATGGTTTAGGTGTTTCCAGTATTCCTCTAACCCTGTGTCCGGTGTCCAATCTCTACCATCCACACCACCTCCAGGATCGTTTTTCAGAATGCCGTCTGTTAATGAGCTTCTCTTGTTTGAGATCCTTTACGTCTCCTAGTGGTGTTCTAAAGTAGTTTTTAGCTGCTTTGCATCATGATCTAACTTAAGAATCTAATGAGAGAAATGAAATGATTTTTCTCTCCAGAAAAAATGTTTGTACACACGTCATTTGCATACAGTTTTAGGAGGTTCACTCATGGATGTGGCTGATATAATTCCTGGCTTATAGAAAAAAATTCAAGCTTCCTAGCAGCCTGTAGTGCACAAGGCACATCAAATGTATACTGCTGCTTACTCCGGCTGAGCCCCCTCCCCTGTATATCTTATGATTAGGCCATATCAGATTCCTTAGCTTTTGTGTTTTTTCATGCCGTTTCAAAACACATCTGTGCCTTTTCCTAGACTTATTTGCATCCCAAATTGTCCCTACCCTTGGCTGGTTCAGTGAATACCTACCTGCTCTTGTTCCAAAACTGGCTCAGATTTTTACTTTATGAAGTCTTTGCTGATTTCTACTTCCCTTTTCCCTTCCCTGGCGAGACTTGCCTGCTTCCTCTTTTGCGTTGCCTTCCCCCACTCTATGGATTCTGACTTGTATTGGAGAACTTGGTTGTTCTTATTTGTTTATATATTTTTTTTTTCCTCTGCTGTCTTTGTGCCTAGTGCCTCTGGAGTATACTTTTTCTCCTAAGAAATGTGTGTTGAATGAACACATGAAGTTATCAGAAGACATTGTCTTCTATTTCAGTGTAATAACTAGGTCTACACATGAACTTTGCAGAATTAGATTTTTTCTAAACTAAGTCCAGTGTAATAAAATTCACATGAAAATAGTGTGTTACAATTGTTGAAGAACTTCCTTAGAAATTTAAAGAAAATTAGATTCCAGTCTTGGCCCTTGTTCCAGTTAGGTCACATTGCAAACAACACAAAGTAATTCTAGCTTAAGCTGAAAAGGAACTTATGGGAAAGGCATTGGATAGCCCACAGAATAGCTGGAAAATTAGGTTAGGAAACAGGCAGGGTCCAAGGGAGACCTGACCGCAGCCTCATCCAGCGTCCGACCATAAGAATGGGACCATCTAGGATAGTGCTGCAGGAGCCACATCGCTGCCTCTGCTGAACTGATACCACCATCTTCTCCATGAATTATCTTTAAATGTCTTTCCGGTTCTAGTTCCTAGGTGGGAGCCTCTGACTTGGCCAAGCCAAGGTCCTACATCTATTTCTTAGGTACCAGGGAATTGGATAACAGGAGAGAAAATGTCTAACCTCTCTAAGCTTTTCCCTTGGGGGCTGGTGGATTTCTCTTTTTCTTTGTTTATTTTACCAATATTGACACAGTGTGGGATTCTCTGTAGAAAGGAAATTGGGTTTGGATGGCAGGCAAGCAAAATAAAAAGGCAGATTTTGTTATACCACTGCTTCTAGGTAATATCTGACCTGAGAAATAATATTAGAAATATGATCTGATATTAGAAATAATAGACCTCGGAATTCTTATTTTACCTCTGTGGGTTTCCCTTTCCTTATTTGTAAATTTAAAATACTGTTGTCTAACTATTAAGTGGCAATAATGTAAAAGTATATCAAATATTTTGAGTTTTTCAAGAGTAAAACACCTGGTAAGACTACAATGGTGTAACTTTCATTCCTGTGAGATAAGCTGTAACACTTTTTTCTTTTAATTGGAGGATAGTTTTGAAATACTTTTTTGAAGTTTATGTATGGGAACTTCTATTAAAGTTGAACAAGGTAGTCCAAAACCTATTGTTTGATTTATTGGATATTGTAATACAATTTGGTAACATTGCCCCTGAAGATAGAAACAGCAGAGACTTTTCACAGTTGATTTGTTTCGACAACCTAAGTAAATACTGCTATTAATAGCAACCATAAATACACTTTTAAAAAAGCATAGAACCATTCAAAGCAGGTTTTCATCTTTTTCTTTTAATCTTTATAGCGCCACTCTTATTTTGTGTATTTCAAATTCTGCAAGTGTTTTTTTTCCCCATTGTTAATCTTTCTAGGACATTATTCTTAGTTTGCTTATTATAGATCTTTTTTTCCTCTCAATTATCTGAACTACCTTTTACTGGCTATTTCTTGAGGTCTTAAAGAACTCCATATTGTTGTTTTCAATAGAAAAGAGTTATTTGCTAATTTCATAGTAAGATGTTTTATCTTATTTACCATTTGAAGCAACTGGTAAGATACATGGTAGGTAAAATAACTACTAAATTCCAGTCCAAAAAGTGGGAGTTGTATTGACTAGGGTGCATATTAGGATACCTAGTGAGATTCATACTAAAGTGGCTAAAATAACAGAGCAGAGGTGAGTGATCCAGGCTGGCAGGACAACTCTGTTCCACGTAATTATTTAAGGACCCAGGTTTCTTTGCTGCCCCCAGTAGTGGTGTACTTGTTTGCAGGTCAAAGCCTTCCATACTCATATTCTTAACCACAGAAAAGAGGAAAGAGGAAATTTATAAGAGACCCACAAATTGCACTTATAACTTCCCTTCATATTCCTCTCAGACTAATCATATGGTATGTTGAGCTGCGAAGGAGACTAGGAATGTGGTCTGCAGCTCTGGTCATGGACTGAGTTAATTAGATTTTATTAGGAAAAAAAAAATGAGAACATATACTGGTTTGGGAGTGGGGGCATAGCTAGTGTTTTTGCCATGTAGGTGAAAATAGAGAAACTAGGGAGTGATATAAAGGAAAATTTACTTTTGATCTGAAATCTAAATAAATTCCTTATAAGTAAATTGAAGTCACATTTTTAGATTTCAAATATTTATTTTGGCATTATTTGAATAATCGGAGTCAATGGGAATATGTACTGGCATGTAGTAAACTTTAAACTGAAAAAATACTTTTATGTTTTTAGGTTTTACACATCTGTAAATAGACTTTTTTGGAGCCCTGCCAGCCAACTCAATGGCGTCCTCTACTACTGTGCCTCTAGGATTTCACTATGAAACAAAGTATGTTGTTCTCAGCTACTTGGGACTCCTCTCTCAGGAGAAGCTGCAAGAGCAACACCCTTCCTCACCCCAAGGTATTATATTTGGCTTATACTGGTTTTATTAAGCAGTAACAATTACTTCATACATAAAAATACTTGTATCTAACTATTGAATATCTATGGTCACTAGATTAAATATTTGTAATATACTTTTAAAGAATAACCTCTTACCTAATCCCTTCCTGCCCCTTGACCTATTCCCAGAAGCAACTACTTTTCATGCTTTTTAAGAGCTTGATAATTTAAATAAATGCCATTGGTAAATGAATGTCATGAAAAAGTAAATGCCATACAGGTAAAAATGTACTAAATACATATAAACAGAAATCTACTTGTTTTAAAGAGATTTCATACTTACCAAGAGATACACTAGAATTGCATAATTATTTTAAAATGTATAATACAATTAGATTCTTTGAATTGCCTTTGTTCAAGGATATTAGATTTAAACAATGGATTAGCATAACTGATAGTTTTTAGCACAATTCTTTGTTTTGTGAAATTGTATATACTCTTCTTTAAGTAGTTTGTCAAAACAAGCTTAAAGTAGTTACTGGAGTCTTCATTAAGTTGTGACTTCATCATCTTAAATATTCTCATCATAGATTTCCACCTCAGCCATAGAGGTAGTTCTTATCTGCTGCTATTCTAGTTCCAGAAGAGATAGTGTTGTGAATTTGGAAATGATGGAATCATTAGCAGTTATGTTAGGAGGCAATGACAGAAGGTATCCTAACAATGCTCATTTAAATACTTATACAAATACTGGCATATTAGTGGGTGTGTTTAATTTTAAGATATACATCATTTTAAGTACCCCAATGTAGGTTGCCATTTAAACAGATTACATCAAAATGACTTTAAAAACTTAAGTCATTTGTGTTACCAAATATTTAATTATCTCACTTAATCTTACCAAACTCACGTAGCAACTCTTACTATTGTCTTTTAATATTTATCATTTATACACAATTTTGCATAGTTGTAATCAATTATTTGTGGATTTTTTTACTCATTTTTTTTTGAACCTTTTTTACATATTTCTGTACTGTCTGTGCTTTCCTCCATTATTGTATTACTTACCTTTGTAAATGTCTTTTAATTTCTTTTATTAGTAGTACTGCTATATAATTTTTAGTTTACCATAAAAGGCTTTCACCTAAGCCACTAACACCAGTGGCAGGGCTTTAATTGAAAAGTTAAGACAGAATCATAATCAAAGGTTATTGTAAGAAATTTTAATTTAAAATGTTATTAATACACATTTAGCAATTTTGATACAGGGTCACGGCTTTTTTTCTTTTAAAGATGGATCTGGTGACTGGAATTCCATGTCATCTTTCTAGCATAAATCACATCTATTACCTATCGTTTTCAATATATGTTTACTTAAGATTGAGTAGGAACATCAAAATGCTTGTAAAATAGTGATTAAAGAGTAGTTGCAGATTTTTATGATTTCCCCCAATCTCCTACAGCTGTTCTCTCACCCATTTTGATAAAATCTTTTTTTTTTTTTTTTTTAGTAAGGTAGCTTTAAAGCAGCTTCTCAAAGCATTTAATCCAGCTCTCATAGAAGTATCACATCTAAAAAAATAAAGAAGTATCAAGTCTCCTTGCATAATAATATTTCAATGATGCCTATAATTTTAAATTATGTAATTTCAATGACAAAGACACCTTTCATAAAACGACTGGGAGATTGGGAGAAAAATAACTGTGTCTTGATAAGCACAAAAACTGGTGCAAGTACACTGTAAAGAAGTCCGTTAGCTGCATGTGTGCAGCTTCCTGTGAGTGCACTTGGCATGTTCCAGATGCAGGCTGCCAGAGGCCACTTCATTCAACACATCATTTCAGGGGAGGTTGGTTAAGGGTGTTTCTACTGGGCCTTCCTGGTGGCACAAAGGTTAAAGTCTCAGCGCTATCAAGGTATCGCCAGTCACTGCAGCATGAGTTTGATACCCGACCAGGGAGCTGAGCTACATGGCGCAGCAGACCCCTCCTGTCTCGCCCACTCCTCCCCTCAGCAGTGTATTTCAGTAGATCCTCCTGTTCTGCTCTGTCTCTGGTGATTGCTCTCACTGCCATCCCCCAGCACCTCTGGCCTGTACCCCAGCTCTTACATGCATAAATAAATAAAATAAATTTTTTAAAAAAAGTGTTTCTACCATACATTGCCTTTTTTTAGTTTTTTACTAAATCATCTAGAATCATACAATGGAATCAAAAAGAGCAATTTTTTTTTTTAAAGATTTATTTATTTATTTTTTTATTTATACAAGCACTGGGTATAGTCAGAAGCGCGGGAGGGTAAGAGAATTCACCAGAGCCAGAGCGGGGAGCAGAACAGGCAGACTGATGAAATACACTGCTGAGGGGAGCAGCGGGCAGCAGGAGAGGTCTGCGCGCCATGTGGGACCCTCCTCTGGGGGCCAGGGAGCAGCTGGGGATCGAACCGGCGCTGCAGAGGCCGTGGGCAGATTCGCAACCCAGCGCTCAACCTCTGCGCCACCGGGGAGGCCCAAGAGCAATAATATTTTTATGAGAAACTTGTAATTTAAAATAAATGTGACCTATAGATTGTCATACCATCTATTATGTATTTTTAAGTTTTCATATATTGTCTTAAAATTAGCTATAACATCTGATATCCTGGATTCCAGGTATTTATCCTCAGCATCTACCATATTAGACTTACAGGGAGTCCACTTGTTATAGGGCAAGTTGAAGGGCACCCTGGGACACCCCTTACTTTAATTGCCTTCATGACTAACTATAGAAATGACTAAATGTTAGAAGACAGTTAGGCCTCTGGTTTGTCATACTCACCAAGGACATACAGGGATGCTTGGGGTTCATAGCAAGCTAGTGTTCTCAACAATCCAGCCCTCAAGACTAGATGCAGTACGGTTCATATAGTTTATCTCATGTGGCACTCAATAAGGTTATTACCAGCAGAATCACAATTAGCAGGATGAGGCCATTCTGCGTGTGAATCTCAGCCATCCACCTCAGGGCCCCAGATTCAGTCAAGTGAGTAAATCCCAGATGGAGGACAAGTAGGTATTTTTTCAGACAGCGACTTAGTTTCCTTTCTTTAGCATGTATAGGTTATTCTACATAACCAATAGTATTCCTCCAACTCAATAGGAGGTTTGACTGTCATACATATCCTTCCCTAATAGGCCAATATGTGGCCCAAGACCACTCTGTTACCCATTATAATGCAAGCAAAAGCACTCAGACATGCTTTCTTCAAGATTTATGCCATTTCATTGACTGTTGTAGCTAGAGTTAAGGATAGATTCCTGGTTATTATCTGGGGCCATAAACTCCAATACCAGATATTAGTACTTGATCTGCTGTATAGTAGTAGCAGGAGTCAGTGTATCCTGCCTTCTTTGCCTGAGGAGCCAACAGAATGTAGCCCAAGGGTGGTGTCATTGACTCTTAGGAATACTGTCCAGAAAAGGGTTGGCAAACAGTAGGCCTTGTAGTTTTAGGTTTAATTCATTAAGGAACATCTACAAGTCTGCAGCAAAAGCCAGTTCCCGAAGCTAGTCATTATTTGATAATATTGGTTGAATGTTCTTTTTCAGAAAAATTTCAGTTTCATTCTTGAGTTCAAAAGTTGCAATAAAACCTTACCACTTTTTAGCCATTAAATTCCTGTGTGATAAGTGTATCAGGATATTCAACTTCTTTTTCTGACAAAAGTTCTTGGAACTGACAGTGATTAAGTTTATGATAGTAAATGTTTACTGTTGAAACTCCAGGTTCATTAACACACAGTAGATCCAAGTATCTTCACAGTACCTACTGATGAATACTATTATGAATAAGCCACCAATTTAAGTTACTTATCCTTTTACAGTCTTTAAATTTGTCCAACTAATAAAGTTTTTTTCTAGTGTACACATATTTTTGCCACCATCACTAACACATCTTAGATTCTACTTCAGGTTATAGTAAATTAGTGCTTTCTCAATGTCTTTGAAAATATTCTCACCTGTAATTATTTTGTGCAGACTGTGCCAATTCTTCAGTCACTTCAAACTCGGCATTGACTCCTTGAATAAACAACAGCTGAGCAGTTTCAGACATCTGTCATTGAATCAAGAGCCAAGGAAAACCACTCAAAATTGTTTGCTTTGTATTTCATTTGACTATTGATATTCTTCCCATTGTCCTCAACTCACTGAGCACCTGTTCTCTCCAAAAGACTAATAATCTTAAACATTTATTTTTTTCTGGACACATTTCTTCAGTTACTGCAATTGAATATGATTTAAGTAACTCAGCATCAATAAATGGCTTTCCAGGTGAATGATAGAGCCATTTAGAAACTTACTTGGTTGCAGCCTCATTTTCATTTTTTATTTTTATGAAGAAATTCTACGATGAGATGTTTCATTTTAAATTTTCCAATTTTTCTGACTATTGCTTTCCTGTGATTTTTTGAATATTGTGATGAGTGCTTTATAGTGTGGTAATGTTAATGTATATTGTGTTCTGAGAACACAACTATAATGTCACTGCGTGATAAACACATACTTTGCCATCTAATTTGATAATAAAATAATCTGTACTCCATTGTACCTTAAAAAGCAGGATATTAAAAAAAAGGATATTCAAAGTCCACTTTTCTTGTTTTGACATAATGTGTATACATAGGGAAATAAAAGTTGTGGTATGGCAGTATGTGTGGTAGTTGAAGTGTTGTGTAGCTGTGGTTACATCTCTACAGTTTGTAGTGTGCTGAGCAGCAGTGTGAAGCCCTGAGAGTGCCACACACAGTCTGCCACTGATGCTGCCATTGCAGCTCACATCAGCCTAAGATCATCTGTGAATGAATGAGAGTGGCTGTTGGCACTGAATTTCCTATATTTAATGTCACAAAAAACTTTTTTTTTTTTTGAAATTTACATTTCAAAAATATAGAAACCATTCTTAGGTCAGGGACTGTATAAAAACATGTAGTGGGACAAATTTTACCCAAGGATCAGAGTTTCCTGACCCCTGATATGGAA